GAAGATGAAAGTTTCTGATAAGCCGCCGCGACACGACGCTGTTATTTCAAATAATCCTTTCGCGAGCACCGCGAAATTGCCTGCACGCGGATTACATTTTCAGAAGCCTGTTACTTTAGGTCCCTTTCATCGTTGCGTCATCGACGTAATGCTTCCGCTTGACGAGCTTCGAGTCCGCTTTTTGAAAAAGCGATCGTACACACGCTGAAAAGATACGACGGTGTACATACAATTTTTGATAAGCTTAACACTGGCCTGGTTTATAGCGGCTATTGTAACGCCTCGTCTTTGTAACGCGGCTCTGTGTAAGTACTTTTAATGCGCGTATTATAAAAAAAAAAAAAAAAAGGGAAAGAAAACTTGGGATTATAGGACTGGGATTATCGATCGTCGAGGGTATCGCATAAAACGTAACAACGCATTCCCGACAACGCTGCTAGATAATTTATCGAGAGATAAAGTTGTAATCCTGATAGGTTGCAAGCAAGAATTCACACGTTTCGTGCGTTTGTGTAACGCCGTTGTTGGTACAAGGCGTGAATTAGAATTATTAAATTTTTAGAAACGAAAGACGATGAAGTGAAGCTATGAAAATCCAAGGAGATAGATATCCAGCAAATCACGTCCACGTAAAGAATAATGCATCTCTTAATCTAGTTGATAATCTTGTTCATAAATTGGGCAATTAATAATTGATATTCCTATATAAGAACGACATGAGGCTAACAATAGGATCAATAGGTCAATATCAACAAAAGTATCATTTTTATAATTAAGCGCTATATCCGACATACGACACGAGACAACAATTTCTATTATTCTTAACAGAGAAATTAATTTTTCTTCGTGTAAAAATGACTCGCTTTGCTCACTCGAGACATTGAACTTTACGGCAAGAATTCACGAAATATTACAATATTGTGAATGATTTAACTTGAAAGAATACAGCCCGTTTCATCACACGAGCTAGAAACGACAAACACGTATACGACGATAACACGAAGAAACGAGAACGGTTAAGGTGGAAAAGGATTCGCCAAAATCGCATTGTAAGCTCTTTGAAGATATCCCTCGTTCTAACTCAAGATAGCGAAGCGTGGAAGATCATCGGATAATCTTTTTTCATGGGATCGTATATATCTCTGTTGGATAACGTGATACAAAATATGACGATGGCGTTGACATGAGAAATTTTGTGGGCTCGTATAAGGAGATCCATCTTGGTATTTTGTTGCGAGAAAGGTCGTCACGATTAGAATCTGTATATTATTAACAAGCGTAGTTAATTAAAAAACTGACAAAGGAATTGAAAGGCGTTGTTTAAATTAGAATATTTATACACATTTACTCCTTTTGAAATCCTAATATCCTCTAAATTGAATCTCTTGAGCGTGAGCGTTACAAATAAAATAATAACTATGTTAAACTACAAGTTTAATGAAAAAAAAAAGAAACCTACAATCTATCCTTCAAACAATCGAAATCATTAAAATTAAACATCAATCCCTATTTTTTTTTGTTGTTTCAGTGCGGTGGTTTCCCATGCGTCGAGAACGTGAAGCGCAAAACGCCGAGGGTAAGTGCGAACAAGGCTTCTGAAACACAGAATCCATCTTATTTCTGTTCGTGTAAGGGAAGCAACGAATCGAATAGCAGTGGCGCGCGTGTGTGTCGAGGTTGGTATGGAAATTAGATTTCGAAGGTTGTGTACGAGCGGGACGCGATGGGTTGCTTGCGTTTCCCTTGCGACCCGCCTTGCGACGCTACATCGAGAAAAGAAGCTTCGTGGAACGAATTTGTGGGTATTCAGACGTCTTTCTTATGTAATCAAATTACTCGAATCCAATTAATAGAGTCTCGATAACGCGACGACACGCACCCGAGGCACCGGGCTCGAGACTTCATTCGTTCAGCCGACGCACACCGGGAACCGCGTACTCACACATACATGCACACGTACAAACGTACATACGTAGACGACCACGCGGTCGTAATTAACCGCACATTCGATGCATGTATGCAGAAACCACGCGTTGTTTGCGAATAGCAATTCGGAGCGTACAGGATTGAATGTAACACGGGACACACACGATGTCGGGAATGCGCACAGTATCGTCCCGTGTGTTCGTCTTACGAGCCTATTACCGAACTTGGCCCTCGCTTGCCCATAGGATTGTTCAATGAGTGATTATGCGGCCGAAAATGAGCAAGATTTGCGGAACACTGGCAAATGGTAGCTTACCCGTGACGCTGTAACGTGCTGTTGCAAATTATCCTGACGTTATAGGGGAATTAGACGTAGCAGCAGCGTTCCGCAGAGAATCATTCGTTCTTACTCTCTGATGTCAAATTTTTTTGTTACTGATGAGTCTAGTCGAACGTGAAAAAAAACATTGTCACAAACGTGCAATTTCTTTGTACGTTATCAGATATTCTACGAATATTTATATTTTTATGAATGTGATTAAAGAAATTACTTTCGGTAGAGTTTCTTCATTACGGTTGACTTCGGTGTTTCTTTAGACGACAGAGAATATTTTCCCAACAATGCAGCAGGCAGTTCTCTACTGATTAATAGGCAAACAAATAGCGAATAGAATCGAAATTAGTTAACAAGGTAGTAATTAAACGTATGGAAGGTAATTAATATCATTACCACCTTCCATTATTAAATTACTAAACTACAATTCTACCACCATTCTGCTTTAGCAACATGCTCTCCGAAATCAAACATACACGTATTCCAATTATACAGGGAAATGCAAACGAAAATGAAAACTACTTACATTAAAAAAAAAAGGAACGTATTTAATCCAAGAATTTAAAAAAAACTAGTTATAAACTAATGGTGGATATGAAATTGATTGACAACATATTCAATTTAAAATTATTCTTTCGCAAAGTACGGAAAATGCGTAACATGATTTACCATGATTTTTATAGTTCATATTTATTTTAAGTCATTCTCAAGAAATGAACAGACAGATTCGTTGATAAAATAGAAAAATACGCGACATCGATGGCGTTCTTGAAATAAAATCAGTAAGCAACTATGAAACGTATCGAACCAAACGATAAGAATTTGTTAGAAATAAAGACGAAAATCGTGCAGTAAAGTATAGGTAGGAAATGGATAAGTCGGAGTAAAGTATCAAACGACGTGGGAGGGGAAAATCTGAAAACAATGCGCCGCATGTATGTACATACGGTGCAGCGTATACAACTGCATTGCGTCAGATGCATCGTAGACTAGAGCTCGAGTAACGATACGTCGCTTCGTCGCCTAGCATGCCATTGTGATTGACTCCGGAGTAATAATATTACATGTTCACTCGTCTATTTTCCAGCTGACACCAAGCTACTGCCACTCGTTGAGCGGAATTACTTGAAGTATTTCCTCCTTCTACCTCTAGCGCAACGAAATTTCGGAATTCTAGGAAAATTGAATCCGCCATTCCCCCGTCAACCTTTCAATGTGATCTATGTTATTTCTATTCCTTTGACGTGGAATGAAACGTGAAACATTTATAGACTGTCATGCTTTTACTTCACGGAACAATTAAACCATTTCTGGAAACCATAGGTAAAGACGTGAGTCTTATTGAACATGCTGTCAATGAATTCTGACATTATTTCATCTTATTTTGAGATTTGCTATCCAGATTTATCATTTATTTTTCTCAGGATTTCTGTATTAGAATCTGCCAGATTATTCAATCACTTGATACCAAAATATCAATCTTTCATCAATCACAATTTAGTTTCAGCTTTTTACGAAGAAAAAAGGAAAATGTAACTTTTCGAATGTACGTACGTCGAGTTCTGACGTTTCAAAAGCACTATAGCTAACTCTAACAGAAATCTAATCATGTATCGGTGATATACTGAATAGATCTCTGGAGTATCAATTCATCATGAAACTCTCAATAGACCTGCGTAATTGGTACACTGGAAAATTGATTGAATACCATTTTCGTTTCATACACTTGAATTTCTAACTCGAAGATCCTCCAGAATCCCAACCATGGAACGTTCTAAAAATTTATTTCAACTGCTCGATCTGCTCACAGAATTGTTCGAATAGCGCCACGAACGTACATAGTTATCGTATTACACGTATCAAGAGTAATGAAAGTCGCTGGTTATAGATCAATTCATCTATTAAAAAGAGAATATCAATATCCCCGAATCCCAATATTCGGATAAACTGTCAGTCGCAGTCGGTTGAAACATCAATTATTTCGTCCGTATTTTATCCACACACCCTTTCCCTCGGTATAATTGACAATATTAGAGCCAAAGTATTATCTATCTTCATCGTCCATCGCGAGTTAACCGAAATTTACACCGATGTGTATCATAAATCCATGGGCGAAGCCCTGTTCCTACGGGCGAGCAGGAAGAAAGCAGCGCCGCCGCGGCGAAAGATCGATCGTTCAGAGAGGATTGCACTCTTTCGAAGGATTCGTACGTACTATGCTGGGTTGTATGGAAAGTGGGCCGCGAGGCAGGCAGAATCGTTAGTAGAAATGAAAACAAATTGCCTGGGTGGGCGGCTTCCGAGAGGGCGAGAGCCGCCGGGCAAAAATGTGATTTGACAAATGGCGTATGATAAAAGCGCGCCACGTTCATTAGGGGAAATGGTCCGCGGCCGGGTAATGCAACTCCCGATCATAAAACTGATGCATTGTAAACATGTTTAGGGTGTTGCATTGCCGGGAACATTGTGTATCGGGCCGATATCTTCCACGCGAACCTGGTTACATACGGTTTCATACGTCACTGGCGTCAGCGGTATCTTTTACAACTTTATGTCCTTCGGGTTAAGTACGCTTTTAACCCTTTCACTGTTAAGATTTCAAATACCGGCCGAACTTCTCGCCCCCGCTGAATATTACGACACGACGTGTAAAACCTTGTACTCTGCTTAAATTATTCGAGCATTTCGCTCGCCTGCTGACATCAAATTTTTGGAAGAGACAACGTTCATCTTGAATAATGTTTCATCTTGAGGATTGATGTTAATTGATCGACAGGGACGAGAGGGAAGTGAATTAGAAGAGAATGTTAGAATGATCAAACACCGATTTGTTCGAAAAATGACGTATCTAAAAAATTGTAAGCTTTGAGATATCTGCGAGTGTGAATTACCAGAGCTATCTAAGTATAGTTAAAATGACCTATTCGTAATTTTTCGTCGAAATTTTGTACTCTTATTGTAAACTTCTTCCTGTTTCTTGTACCTTAATTTCTTTGATACAAGTTTTGTACTTTAATCGTTGAGTATTAACAGAAATAAAACAGTCATAATTACCTACACAGTAAAATTACATCTATCATTTACAATCGCAAAAAAAGAGACGATAGCTTTAATAATATCGGGAGAAAAAGACGAATGGTGAATCGGGAAGTTAGCATGAAATAAACTACACAAATCGGAACTCAGATTGTTCACTTCGGCAAATCGATGAGAAAAAAAAATGGTTCTATAATGCTACGAAATCCCATCTGGAGTCAGTTAACTGCAAAGACTAAGCCTCTTGATACTCGATACTGCTTTATCGTACGACATAATCTCCTTGACGACGTCGAGAACATTTAGCGAAACTGGGAAAAGAATCTTTACGATTCGAGGCTTCTTCAACTCGTGTCGTAGAATTTCGAGAGGATTCTGATACGCGTACCGGAGATCTTGCTTTGTCGCAAGAGAATGGAACAAACGCGAAGCGTATCGTTTCTCGTTCTCTTTATCTCCAAAAATCTGCGATCACGTTGATCTACTTGAGAAAGGAACAATTGCTTCAGAAGACCATGGTTTTCGAAGAATATACAGCTTATAACTTTTGAGCATAGAGAAATACTGAAAACTTTTGGACTTCATAGTAAATTGTAAATTGGCGTACTATTTACAAAGAGGAGAAAAGTAAAAGGATAGCTCGTCTTGTTTTTTGGTCT